CCAGGGCCCCGGGCCAGGCAGCCGTCCCGGCCGCGGGCCCTCGGCGTCCTCACCGGCGCAGGAGCCGACCACACACTTCATGCAGGCGGCGGCCATCCCGGCGGGCCCGGGGCCCTCGGGCGCACCAGGGGGCCGCCCCTGGGCCAGACTCCCGCGCGCCGGGCTCCTCCCCACCGGCGCCTTACCTCGGGGGCTGCGGTTGCCCTGCTCCTCCGGGGCCGAGGCCTCCAGAGCGGGGCCGGGGCCGGGGGCCGCCACGTCACGGGCCTCCCCCTCGGAGCCGGGGTCCTGCGTGCCCAGGACCAGCTCCGGGAAGGCCTCGCGACTCGGCTTCTGGCTCTTGGTCGGGGCGCTGGCCGTGCGCCGCAGGAGCCGCTGGCTAACGGAAGGCCGAGGCGGGGGCCGACCAGCAGCATGGCTGTCCAGGGAGCCGGGCTTTGGGCCTCTGAGGAACAGGCCTTTTAGGCCCAGAGCCTGCTTGACCTGCAAGAGAAGGAGCCCACGTAGCCAGCGGCCGGGCACCGGGGACCGGGGACCGCCGGCCCGGCCCCCGGCACACTCCGGCAGGCGGTGACGGGCCCGAGCCTGCCGCAGCCCAAGAGCCAGCCCGACGAGGGCACCGGTGAGCGTGTCGGGCTCGTGCCGCTCAGGGCTGTGGGTGCGGGAGAGGGTGTCCAGGGCGCCCCTTCCGGGGACGGCAGCTGCCACGGCCTTGGCGCAGACCAGGAGGCGCCGCCGGAGGGTGGACGGGTCCCAGGACAGGCGGGCCCGGCGACGGCCAGACGGAGAGGCCCCCCCCCCCCAGGGTTCTCCCCGGACCCTGGATCCTGCGCCCACACCGTGTGCCCCTCACGGAGCCCCCGGCTGTGGCGGAGCAGGCTGGCCCAGTGCCCGCGGGGTGGGCCTGACACGGGGAGAAAACCCCACGGGAGCAGACACCGCCAGGCTCACGTCCGCCCCCACCTTCGGGCGCCACAGGCTGAGGAAGCAAGCAAAGCCGGGTGCGGGCCAGCGGTCTGCTCTCCCGGGGCCCTGCCCGGCCCACTCCTCGGACCTGCTGCCTCCTCCGGGAAGCCTTCCTGCCCCGCTGCCAGCCTCACCCTGCTCTCTGTTCACACAGCCCTAAGGGCAGGCCCCGTGCCGGCTCGGCGTTCCCTGAACTGCCGCTGGCTTCGGGCCTTCCCGGACAGCCGGGCCCGGGAAGTCCCCGCGAGGCCTCTCCCGACAGCCTCCCCGCCCGAGGAGGGCAGCTGGGGGCCCCCGGGACCAGCCGGCAAGTACCCGGGTCAACGCCGGAGAGGCCGGCGGCTGCGTGTCGAGAGTGCAGAGGCCAGAGGGGTCCTCGCATGCAGAGGCCCCGACAACAGTCACCACTCCCTAGTGACACAGGGGCACGTCTGGGCGGAGGTGTTAAAGTGGCCAGCACTTGAATCAGCTTCCCGATTCAAGATCCCAAATCTAGTGCAATTTGGGCGAAGTTGCCCGCAAAGCCATTTAGAAGGAGGTCCAGGATTCAAGCTCCGAGCTCCTGGTCCCTGGGGCCTCCCCACCCCACCCCACCCCACCCCAGACGTGATGGGCGCACGGAGTCAGGGAGTACGTGGGGGGTGAGGGCGGAGAGGAAAGGCGAGGGCAGGGAGGGTGATGGGGGCAGGGGGGCAGGGCGCTCAAAGCCAGAGGACCAGACACGGAGGTAGGCGGGGGACACGGGGTGGTGGACGGAGGACGGAGGAGGGAACGGAAGGCCGGGAGGGGTCCACGCACAGGAGACCTCGCTGAAGTCCTGGACCTGCCTCGTAAATGCTGCTCTGTGGCTGAACATGGCCCAAGGGACCCCAGAGCCGCGGCACGATCCATGTCGCATGAGCTGACAGTCTCCAAAATGCTATCGGGAATCACGGATGCTAATGGGGGCGGCCTGAGCATGCAGTGGGGGGGCGGGCGGGCTCCGCCGCCCCGGCGCTGGGGTACCTTCGAGGTCCTAACGGGACTGTCCTTCTAAAAGTAGACTTTAGACATAGGCAAGCTCACTGCAAGACCAAAGAGACAGAGTGAAGGCTGTGAGACGCCGACAGCCGGGCGCGGGGCCCGCGGAGACAGGCAGACACGCCACAGACAGACGGGGTGACGACGGGGGAGAGCCAGGAGGCCCGTGGTGCCGCGGGGCCGCGCAGGTGGCAGGAGAGAGACAGCGCCGGGACCACGCAGGCCCCCCACGCGCACCGGACGGACCGCCACACACACGCCCTGCCTGGGCCCGGAGCACAGAACGGGGCCGCCCTGGGTTCCGCGACCTGGGGCGATGGAGTGAGAGCCCCGTCCGGGGGTGCGGGGTGGGGGGCAGGGCCAGGCAGACACCCTCCAGAGAGGGATGGAGAAGCGGGGACCCTGAGACGTAGGAGTGAGGAGGTTTAGGAGAGATGGGGGGTGGGGGGCAGGGGTGCCCAGGAAGGGCCAGGGTGTCCGGTTCCTGGTGCCTGCAGCGGCCCCGGGACACCGGGGTCGGGTGTCCCTACCGCCCATTTTGCAGGCGGAGACACAGACCCAGAGGAGTAAGCACCAGGCCCGACGGCCTGGCAACGGGGCCGGGGTGGGAGCAGGGGTGGGCCGGGCAGATGGCCCTGCGGGTGGCACTCACCTTACCGCTGACATCACTGATGGCCACATGGACAAAGATAGAGGCCTCTTCCATCCCCTCCAGGTGCACATGCCGGTAGCCTGAAACAGCCAGGCCACGGTCACCCCGCCCCGCGCTCTACCCAAAGGTCCCGGGCCCCGAGTACAACCCCTGAGCCCAGTTCTGGGGGCTCCTTCTCCAGGAAGCCCTCCGGTATCACTCAGTCCTGCAACGACCTCTTTCTCTTCCTGGGGTCTGGGGGACCCCACAGACTGGGCTCCCCTCCCCCATCCCGCCCACAAAGTGTCCCTGGCCTTATACTAACTTCCTCCTCAGCTCCCTGTTGTGTCTCCAGGCCCACCCATGGCAGGGACCGACTCACAGAAAGAAGCTCAGTCCTGGCTTCAGCTGACCTACAGGGGACTCTGGCCTGTGGGGGACACTGGCCTGTGGGGGGGGACCGGTCTCTATGGGGGACGCTGGCCTGTGGGGGGGACCAGTCTCTATGTGGGATGCTAGTCTGTGGGGGGGACCGGTCTCTATGGGAGATGCCGGACTGCGGGGGGACACTGGCCTGTGGGCACGACCGGTCTCTATGGGGGATGCTGGCCTGTGGGGGGACCGGTCTCTATAGGGAACGCTGGACTGTGGGGGGGGACCAGTCTCTATGGGGGACACTGGCCTGTGGGTGGGACTGGTCTCTATGGGGGATGCTGGACTGCGGGGGGGACACTGGCCTGTGGGCACGACCAGTCTCTCTGGGGGACGCTGGCCTGTGGGGGGACCAGTCTCTATGGGGGATGCTGGTCTATGGGGGAGGACCAGTCTCTATGGAGGATGCTGGACTGTGGGGGGGACCGGTCTCTAAGGGGGATACTGGCCTGTGGGGGGGACCAGTCTCTATGGGGGATGCTGGACTGTGGGGGGACTGGTCTCTATGGGGGATGCTGGCCTGTGGGGGGACCGGTCTCTATGAGGGACGCTGGACTGTGGGGGGACACTGGCCTGTGGGCACGACCAGTCTCTATGGGGGACGCTGGACTGTGGGGGGACCGGTCTCTATGGGGGATGCTGGCCTATGGGGGGACCGGTCTCTATGGGGAACGCTGGACTGTGGGGGGACCGGTCTCTATGGAGGACACTGGCCTGTGGGTGGGACCGGTCTCTATGAGGGATGCTGGACTGTGGGGGGGACCGGTCTCTATGGGGGACACTGGCCTGTGGGGGGGGACTGGTCTTTGTGGGGGATGCTGGACTGTGGGAGGACCGGTCTCTATGGGGGATGCTGGCCTATAGGGGGACTGGTCTCTATGGAGAACGCTGGACTGTGGGGGGGACTGGTCTCTATGGGGGATGCTGGCCTGTGGGGGGAACCGGTCTCTATGGGGGATGCTGGCCTATAGGGGGACCAGTCTCTATGGGGGATGCTGGCCTGTGGGGGGAGCGGTCTCTATGGGGGACGCTGGACTGTGGGGGGACACTGGCCTGTGGGCAGGACCAGTCTCTATGGGGGACGCCGGCCTGTTGGGGGGACCAGTCTTTAGGGGGAGTGCTAGACTGTGGGGGGGACGGGTCTCTATGGGGGACACTGGCCTGTGGGGGGAACCGGTCTTTATGGGGGATGCTGGGCTGTGGGGGGACCGGTCTCTATGGAGGGTGGTGGCCTGTGGGGGGACACTGGCCTGAGGGGATGCGTGTCTTTATGGGGGACACTGGGCTCTGCAGGAGATGCTGGTCTCTGTACCAGGGGGCCCTGGCCCGGGCTCTGCCCTCCCTGCCCTGCTGGCCCCCTGCGCACCTGGCATCATGCTGCCGAAGGCCAGTGTCCTCTGGCCAATGAAGTCACGCCCGATGGGGTCATGGTCCCAGACGAGGAAGCGCACCAGCGCGATCTCGGGCATGTGCACCGTGAACACCAGGGTCTCCTCCCACATGGGGTTGAATCCTAGAGGCCACCGGGAGGAGGTGTCACCTCCCACCCCAGGTCCAGCCCGGAGGCCACCTGGGCCCTCGCCTCCTTCGGGGGCTGGCGGCCCAGCCCGGGAGAACCTGGGGACTGGGCTCTGACCAGGGGCGCCCCCGCCCGGCCCTCCCCTGTGGCCCCCGGGGCCTCACCGTTGTCGTCCACCACACGCGTCTGCTCCTTGTTGCAGTCCACGGGGAGCCCGATGACCTCCACCTCCACGAAGGGGTCGATGATCTGGGCGCGGAGGGCAGGGCTGGCACCTGACCTGGCATGGTGCTCCAGCCCCGCCCACCCGGGCCCGGGCCCCTCCTACCTCGCCCCGGTCCCCCAGCATCGAGTCCCTCGGCTTGGGGAGCTGCTGCCCGCTGATGATGCGAAGCACCAGCTGCTTCTTGAGCTGCCCGGGCAGAGGGTCCTCGGAGTTGGGGTTGAAGACGCCTGGGGGGTGCGGGGGTGCCAGGCTGAGGGGGAGCGGGGCCGGCCTCCACCCTCTCGCCGGGCCGGCTGGGCACCCCACCGCACCCTCCTGCTGGACAGGAGCGCCAGGCCCGGGGGGCGGGAGGCAGCATTCTGGCACGGGGGTCCCGGGGGTCCACGTGCTGGCCGCCCCCGTGACCACCCTGTGACCGGGCGTGGCTCGTCACCCCTCGTGGATTCCTGGCAGGGTGGGGGTCCTCCCCCGCACACCCCCTTCTGGCATCCTGGGGGCCGTGTCCCTGGCTGACCCACCAGGTGGCCCTGCTGAAGCTCCGTGTCCCTGCGCCCCCGGGCCTCACCCTGGCACATGCACTGGGGCTTGAGCACGTAGCCACAGTTGCCATTGAGGCTGAACTTGGCCCGGTTCAGCTGCAGCATCCGGCCCTCCGACTGGTAGTTCAGGGCGACTACGGGCAGGGAGGCGACGTGGCCCGGTCAGCGCCCCGCCGCCTGCCGCCCCGCCTCCCCCCCACGGCTGCCCGGGTCCAGGGCTCACCTATGTGAGCGGGGACCCTGGGCTCACAGCCCTGTGCGCGAGCGGGGCGTGTGTGCGCGTCCTGGCAGAACGTCCCCGGGGCCCTGCCCCGCCAGCCCCCGTCCGCCCCCCGGGGACGCGGGTGGACGTGCCTCCGTCTCTCCCTCCTCGTCCTGGGGTCCCGCCCCCCCAGGAGGGCCGGCCGGGCGACACCGGCAGGGGGTGATAGAGGCTCCCCAAAGCCAGCGGCCAGGGGGCAAGGCCGGCCGCCCCGTGACGCGCACCCATCTGGCAGCCGGCGTTCCAGAAGGGCTGAGGGTCGTAGTTGCTGGAGTCCACGCGGTACGAGGAGGGGTAGATGCGGGACAGCTGGTGCTGGTTGAAGCGCAGGTACTGGGCCGGCTTCTGCTGCAGGATCTGCTGGGCCCTGGTCTCGCTGAAGGACGACACCTGCCAGCTGGACGCCACTGCGGCGCAGGG